CCACGATAACTCGATATAACAACACAATACACTACACTACACTACACTACACTATACTGACAACAAAAACAATAAACAGCGACGTACAATCACAACGCCACTAAAACAAACAGTGAAGGAAAACCGAAAGCACCGAAAGCAACCGAAACCAACCGAAACCAACCGAAAGCAACAATAAATGTTACACTGTAATCATAACAATAACAACCATAAAAGCTCTTTTGTTTCACATACGAAAATATCAACAGCACCAACAATAACAGTAACAACAAAAACAACAACAACAACACTTATACAAACAACAATTACAACAAAAACACGGCAACACAACAACGTTGTAGATTATTTGAATGGATTTTATTAACAACGTTTTTCATTTTCAATATAAAACAATAACAAAAAGTGAATTGTAATCAACACCTTTAAAAATATTTATTTGTATTTGTTTTAATTTATATTAATTTTTTTCAAAGTTTTTTTGTTATGATTTTTTTTCTCTTGTTTTCGTTTTTAATTATGTGTATATTTTAAATACCGTAACTGTTTCTTCTTTCGTTTTTGTTGGCAGAGTAACGGATATGTATTTTTAAATAATATTTAAATTAAAAAAAGGAAAAAAGTTTTTTCAGAAGGGAAAGAAGAGGGAACTGACTTGACTGCGAATGCAGCAGACAATGCTTTCATCAAAGATTTGAACCAAAAATCCTATAGAAGATAGACACATTATCACGACTCAAACTATAGTAGGGATTCAATCATTTAAATCTTCATATTTCAGAAATAATTACTGAAACGATTATAAAAGTTAATGTTTTTATGTTCAATCCCAAATAAATAATGATCTCTTCTAAGTTTGTTGATACGTAAATACTTTCTGATGTTTAGTCTCTCCAAGTATATGCCATCTTGGAACCATCAGCGGTGATTGCAATGTCAAAATCAGACAATGGAGGTACTGTAGTCTAAACCGTTTTCAAACAAAAAATTGCTCTTGAATTTTTCCGGAATGTTACTTTCAGGATTATGCCGTTTTATCAAAAAGGTTTTGCGCTTCTAACGTAGGTAGACGTCTATGGAAACAGTTTTCCTTTAGACAATAACTTGTTTCTTTTAAAAACAGTACATTTATTGTTGTCGTTTAATGGATATAAAAGTCTGTTGGGCTCATGAGCGTCAGCACGTTAAGAGACAGATAGATTGATAGGTATATAAATAGATAAATATTTCTTTATTTCAAAATATTTTAACATAAGTAAGTTTTATGTCTTAAATGCAAGAAAAATCGGTTGGAGTTGCTTAAAAATGCATTGAAAAATAAAGAATACTACAATGATTTAATAGTCATCTGTCGGAGAATTCAAATTAATCGTTTATGTTTTAAATTTTAATTAAAAAGCATCAAATTCGTTAATAATTAGTCTGTATTTAAAAGCACTAGTAATATAGTTAAATAATTTTCTCCAAATAGAATCGTGTTCAACTTTAAGCACACTGTTTACATCCTCTTCCATTAAAGATTCTCTTTCAAAAGAAAGTCATTTAAAAAACCCTAATATAGGACAACGGCCTAAGTAGCGCTGTATGCTTTCCGTTTCATTGAGGTTGCACAATGTACGCTTTCTACAGAACTTAAGGACGTTGGACTTTGAGAGTTTACAGTAAATTCTACTGGCTACTGTAAAAAGCAGCACTAAAGTTAAACCGTAACCATTATGGTCTCGTGAAATTTAAATGACAATCGGCTTATTCAATCCAATCTCCAATTTTTAAGGAGATTGTATTACTCTTGTGTAAATGTACCGTGAGATAATACATTGTGATTAAAGAGTTTGCACGATATTTAAGGAAATCAACTATTTAAATCACCATAACTGGTTAGCTATCCACTAAAATCTGCAAACTACAAATTTACTGGAGAATCCATCATACGAATTACAAATTTGCTTGGTAATTCACCTACCAAAAAAAACTTATCATAATAACTCTGTTAACTATTCTACTTGTTTAATATTTTATTATGCTTATGTAATGAGTTTTTTGAAGACTACCTCCTTGCCGTGGTGAGGAGGCCCATTAGTTACGTAAAATCTTCGAGCGATGCCGGAGAAAGCATGCTACTGGTAGGGCCTCCCTTATCGGTAAGGTCGAAGAGCAGAAATTTAGTTAAGCGTAGTCATAACGTAACGTCAGTACTCACAACGAGCGGCTGCAAAAGGCGTCTGTTCTCCAGGTTAGAAGCGGCCTATTTAAAAATGACCTGACACTACGTGTAAATACTACAGAACTGACATTACGCTTGTGACCCAACGCCAGGTCTTCGATCATTTTTTTAACTCTTTTCTGGGAATACACCCGATGGAATTACAGTCTCCAAATGGTACCCATACATATACGGTGAATCCACCTGCTTCAGCAGCACGCATAAGGGATTTGGAGGTGCTCAATTTACGTTTAAACAGATTCACTCCCTTAGGTATAACTGTAACCACATGGCTCAATGTTCCTCTGGGAACGCAATGAAATGAAAAAGTAGATGTCATAAATTCCACTGAAAAATTTTAGTTATGTTAGTTATTACAAATTTTTGATTAGTCATACTGATGATTTTTGCCATAACATTGCATTAAATGTTGTTGAAAAAAATTTTTAAAGCCATATATCATAAATAATTGAGAAGGGGTGTAGAATGAGTTCGATGCTAGGTTTTTCTTATATATCAGTGTTTAAGACCCAAGTAAATAAGTCACCGATGTGTTTTGAATTTTAGCTTGATATAAAATTCGACTATCAAAAATTGTACTAATAATATAGTATTTTCAATCACCCTGTAGAAACCAAAAGTTTTCATGTCCTAAAAACGTGAAATCGTTCTATAGGGTGCCTTTGGAGAGACAATTCGATTTATTAGAAATATGACACAGTAATGGAATCACCCCATAAACTGCAACAAATAGTAAATGTTTTGGAGTACGTCTGTATCCAACAGCACACTATTGGATTCAACTAGCATAAGCAATAAGAGAATTTTGCCTATCAATAAGTCCATGTATATCTCATCAGTGAACCAAATTTAGCGGTATAAAAGTAGATTGATTTCTACCTGTTATAGTCATGATAATTATGCGGCTTAAGTTCCGGAACCAATTAAGAAACTTATTGAACTTTTGAGATCTTAATCGTCTCTCAAAATCCATATGAAAGAGTAAGTTCTTGTAAACTATGGTGAAACGATATATTAGAGTTTTTCATTACACTAGGCTCAAGGGCATTAATAGCTTGATATGTGAGCGAACATTTTGCGAAATTTTTTAGATATCTCCGGTAGCTTCAACTAAGTATTGGGCTTGCAAATAAATGTGAACATGTGGTCTTTGCATAATGATATGTATAATCTCTGTCGTCTCTATAGACATTACATTATACTGATATTAATGATTGAATCTGAGTTTATGGTTGCCTACATCACTTTGTTTATTTTTAAGTTTTTAACCATCAATAGACACCTTGGAGAGCTGGATAAAGTTCTCCATGTACTTTTCATGTACTTTTTTTTTTGGTTATAAAGCCTTTATACTGACTATTTTTTTTAATTGCATTGTCAAAATGTTGGCGACAATATGTTTATATACAACACAAACCTTATCAACTGTTTTTTGTTTTTTTAAATTTCAGTGTAAAATAGTTGATATCTGCAAAAGCATATATCACACAAGACCGTGTCAATCTCAAATATATTGTACAATGCTTAATAATTCTAAACTATTTTTCTCTTTCTCTTTTCAGCTTATAAAATATAATTGTATAAAAAATATAATAATATTCCAAAAAATATAAAAATTATAATAACATAAATAGAAAATAATACGATAATTTGTTTTAAACATATCTGTAAATAATATAAAAAGTGTTCCATAATATGTATATACCAAAAAAAGAAGCAATCACTTGGTCTCTTAAGCAGACTCTACGTTAGTAGGGGCGTTAAAAATTTAGATTTGTGAAATATTTTCCTTCTCCAAACATTAGCAAAAAATACTATTAAGTATCTTAGCATAAGCAGGTAAAATCTCTATACTAACGACAACTTCCCTCCATCTTTTTCTCTTTTCTTTCTTCTACGAAACACGCACAACAACAAAAAATATTGCTGCAATTACAACGACAAAACCAATCAACGCACGCTTTTTTTTTTGCACATTACCATTTTTTTTTTGACATTTCCATATGTCAAATTGTTAACAACGAACACGGAAACTGTCAAAAAACTACGCAAAAAAAAAAACGCTCAACAACTAATTCAACTCTCAACTACAACTCTAATTGCAATGGTGAAAATGGTGAATTTCACCGATGGTAATATTTTCCAACGAATTGCGTGACAAATGCGTATACCTGTAACACATCAAATGCTGTAATGTCAATGATGATGATGACATCGCATCTATTTACACATCTTTTTATATCCGATGATTTTCGGCTTATGAAAATGTCATTGATAAATGACTGAAAATTTGTAATTCCAAATAAATTATAAAAAAAAACGAAATCTTTGCTAAACCAAAACAAAAACTATTATAAATAATTGCAATACTTCATGTCATAATTGCAACTTTTTATAAAAATCACAACACAAATTGAAACTTACTGCACACCTCGTACCTCTTTTGCATATGTCATACTTCCACAAATGCCCATTTGACTAATACTCATAAAAATTAACCGAATAAAAAACTTGTTACTAATACTCACCAACACGACTTCCACTACTACAATCACAACTACTGCAACTACCAATGACTGATAAAAACTAACAACAACTGTACGTGCTGAAACAACGAACTGTCAAATGTGGTGAATATGTCAACTGTCAAACATTTCACGTGCAAAACTGGTGTGCAACGTCTATAAAAACTACGAAATACAAAACTACATTTACAAAAATAAAAATAAATATATATATCAATATATCAATAATAAAAATTTTACTCTATGAAATGCAGTAAAGTCAACTCTTAAAGTTAGAAAGATACAAAATAAACTAAATTATAAGTAAAGAATATAGAGATTTATAGTTACACTAAGCTTAAGAATATACTAGCAGTAGAGTAAGTCTAGTATTAGCTTAAAATTAAGCAGCTATTATTGTAATATATAGGCAAGAATTACTACAAGTGTTGTGCCCAATAATCTTAGATAAATATTTAGAAGCATATAAGGATTTTAAATTTTGATTGGTTGTTTTGTTTTATATATATATCTATATATATATATATATATATATATATATATATTTGTGCGTTTGTTGTTTCGTAATTCATAAGTCATCATCGTTGTTGTCGTTGTTAATTTAAAATAATGGGGCTGCAAAGGGCAGCACTGCCAGCAGCCAGTTTTGTCGCAGCTACCCTGACAATATTGCTAATATGGGCGCCAGATTTCGTAAATGCAGTCCGTGAGTACAATTTTAATATACATTTTACTTTATTAAGTATATAAAAAAGTTTTGTTATATTATAATATATTATTATATTTCTATATATATGTTTTTACTAAGTATTATATACTATATCTAATTTGAAAACCGAAATATTTTTGTATGTATAATATATTGTCAAAAAAATGTTTGCCATATAAAATTAATATTTTTTTATTTTTATTTTAATAAAAAAACAGAAAATTAAATTAATAATTAATTTAAATTATTTTTATCTTATAGTTAAAACCAAAAGTGAATACTTTTGCTTGAATTAAACAAAAAATTTAAAAGCAAATATATTCTTAAACTATTTCCAAGAATAATATTTTCTGTTTTGAGCTAGTGCACTTAAGCAATTATACCCTTTTTAATTCGAGGTTTCTTCAAAACCTTGACTACACCTTCACTAGGTTATTGTTTATCACTTCATCAGACTAAAAAATAACTGACCTCAGATCTGCATACCTCCCCGAGGAGCCTGTAACCGTTCTGAGATTTGATAACGCGGTGTTGGTAAGTCTGTCAGATTTCGCAAATAATTTCAGGGTTCTGTCCTTTATGTATTTCTTGATTAATCTTGAGGTCCCTGAGAACGTCATTCGTCCTAATGTACCATGGAACATTGAAAAGTTTTCTCAGAACCTGGCTTTGTGCAATTTCTATCTGGTCAATAGTAGTGTTTGAAGCTTTGCTAAACGCTACACAACCACATAAAAGTGATGGACGAATTATTTGGTTATATTTCAGTTTCCTGTTCTTAACATTGAGATTTCCAATTCTAAATAGCGGTTGGAGGTAATGAAGAATTTTGGCACAGCTAATTCTTTTCACTTGAGAATGTTTAAGCCATGTGAATCGTTTGTCCAACATGAAGCCAAGATATTTAACGCTATCCTCCCAGTTTATCACCATATCACCCACTCTCACTCTCGACGGATTCTATCTCCACTTACGCGTTATAAACAGAGCCTTAGTTTTTTTATCATTGATTTCTATTTTCCATTTCTGAAAATACTCCAGAATGAGGTTTATATGCTCTTGAAAACACACGGTTACGTTTAGAGCACATTTATCTGAGTATAGCATACACCTATCATCAGCATATAAGGCCAGAGTCGAGGGACCTAACATTGGAATATCAGATTTATAGAATAAATTAGTGTCTATGGTACATATACGGTAGATTGTGATTGTAGTGTAATTCTAAGTCCATATTTATCAGTATAGTTTCATTACACTCCAGAAAGATGTGTTACTTTATTTCAGATACTTAATTACAATACTTAAATATAATGTTTCAACAATTCATGTGTTCGAACGCTTTCAAGTTGATTATGCTGTAGATCTGGTAGCCGCCGTTATTTTTCAAGTACATGGTTTGGTACTTCGAGTACTCGTTATATTAGGTTCTCGTTAAAGCAAAAGTCTACTGTAGGGCGAGTTCTTCGAAGAATGCATGGAATGAAGAGTTCCATACAAATAGTGCTAGAAAAAGGGGAGTGTCACAATTTTGATTAAAGTTTTAGCTAATACACTTCCGCATTAATATAACGCATAAGTGAAATAAGATGTTTTGCTAACTATATAGGTGTTTGATATTTTGCCATTGTATAAAAAAACATTTATTTAGCTGCCAAAAAGTATGCTTTGATTTTGACTGAATGGTTTAGCAGTCAATATGCTTTCATTATTTGAATAAAGTAGTGTTTCTCAACTTGTGTTTGATAAGGTCGGCAGATAATAGAATAATTAAATTTTATTGAAAAATAAAAACTGAATAATGTGTATTCCACCTTTCTGATAAACATTTACTAGTTCACTACTATATAAGTTCATAGAAATCATAAACGGTCCGACTTCCTGGTTGCCGTTAATCTAAAGTTAACAGTATTAATTTATTCGTAGTTTGAAGTTGCCTCCGTTAACAACAAAATTGCTTCACGCTAAGAAACACTGCGCTAAGGATTAAAAATATTAAATCAAATCTGTTGTATATTTTTAGGCTTAGTGGACAATATTTTTTTTTTATTGATTTTTTAACCAAAAACTATTTGTTTTTAAAATACTATCACTTTAGTAAATTAACATAATGAAATTTCTCTTTTATATATTCGTGGGTTTTAAAGTTATTACGTATAGTTTTTTTCCAAAGTTTTCAAGATATCAAATCTATTATTTTTTGCAGTTGGGTCGATGTTTTAGTTTATAAACTAAAACAAATGCGTTCAAGACCTATGCCTGATTGTGGCGTCAGTTTTTCTAGTCTACTGAAATAAGTTCAGAGTTGCCGATATTCTAAGGAATTGATTTTGATTAGATACTTAATTTTCTTTTGCATGACAAAACAATCTAAATATGAAAATAAAATAGATACATATTTTTATGACAAGTTTTTAAATTTCAAGACCTTCATTTAACTTTAGAGTTTTTCCTTAAAGATTTATAATGCCTTTATAAATGTAAAAGTTGTCATAGATTTTATTGTTATGGATCTATAAAAAATATATGAATTTCTTATATTTAAACTATTACTTTTCCAATAATATATATTATTAAGTATATAATATTAATATATATTATTAAGTATTTGTGATTTGAAGTTTTCTGAATTTAACACTTTGTCGCAATATTGTGCCATGACTGCTTGAAGAATACTGACATTAATCTTCAATGTAAAGTGTGATTAGTACAATTAAATTTTGTTGAATTTTAAGGTCAAGTACCGTTTATTTCATAGTGCAAAACTAGAAGTTAGTAAAAATAAGCACATGCAATTATTTTTTTTTAATTTTATCGTGAAATAAAATTTTTAATGTATTTATAAAGCTTAAGTGCTTACATTTATATTAGATTTCTAGTATATACTATGTATATCAAATTAAAAATTTTGAAATACATGAACAATCTCAGTGTTATAGTCAACATATTGATTTAAATCTGCTGTAAAACTCTTGAAGTATGTTTTATTTAATCTTATTATTCCCTTTCAACATATTTCATAGATCGTGTATAAAAGTTACGAATACAAATAATATTTCTCGCTACACTTTTCAACTAAAAGTTGTGTTAAGGTATCCTTAAATGAAGCTCATATGTTTCAATTTAAAACCCTTTTCATACTTTGAATGGTTATGTTTTTCGAGACACGAACTCAATGAAGTATTAACTTTGATTTCAAAAAGAAAAAAAATTGCTTTTTATTTAAAGTAAAAGTTTATAAATTTAGCCACAAGTGGGTTTATCATAAAATATCCAGTAAAAAAATCCTATTAAAAGTTAGCTTGTCTGAAACCTAAACCTGCACCTGCAACAGTCAAAGTTTTTATTAAGTCAATGACTTTACTGACTCGCTCCTCTTAATATCAAAAAAATCTACTGCACCTTGAGTGTATCTGAAGTTCGTTTGTGTATAATTAAAGAAAAAAATTGGAAAAATATTGAAATATTTTTATAAAAATATGTTCGGCGAAAAGTTTCTCAAAGTTGATATTTTAAATTTAAATTTGATACTTTTCGTAATAAGAGTTAATTGAAATTGTGTTAAAATGAATTTGGCATAAATAAACATTTTTCGATACATAAAGAAATAACTAGTTGTCAAAATAATGATAAGATAATGAAAAATAGTTTAGCAAATTGGTTTAGTTAAACGAACCCGCACTTAATGCTTTAATAAGGTGTTTATTTAGCAATTGAAATAACTTGTTTTTTTAAGGAAATATAATTTTTTAATATGTTATTGCTTAGATCTCAACTCTGACGAGATAATACAAATTAAATTATTTTTAACTATTACTTGCAAATTTAGAACTTACTTACGAAACATACTTTTAACTCATTGTAGTTTCATACAAAATTGTTGGTGTGAATTGTTAATACCATAGAGCAATCTGTATATTAATAAGGAAAACATCATGTGATATTCTTATTATGCATCGCTACACCGTACTTTCCATACTCTTGACTAAATTCAACATTCCGCCGAGCATTCCTCTTTCTACTTAATTACATCAAATATACAAAAGTTACATGTTTTTCCAAATAAACTGCTTCCTTGGATGTTCTTTTACTGATTATTATTGTTCGTACAGACAATTGCAGCGCCTCTCTGACCGCAACGTTTAAATTAAAATTTATGTGCCATTGCACTCAACTAAATACACTCAACACTTGTTTTATACATTTAACTTTATGCAACATATTCGTATGTTGCAAGTGCTTTTTGCCGCCTCAATAGGAGCGCAAAAAAAATACAGCACAATTGCATAAATATAGGCGCATTGTAAACTGGAGTTTTTCCCGCACTCGTGAATACAACACTATAATAAATAAATAAAAACCAAAAAGGTGAAAAAAAATATCACAAAAAAACAACAACAAAAAATGAAATGCACATCAAAAAGAAAAAGTGAACGTTAATTGCCTTTTTTGAGTATTTTATGCAATTGTTCGTATTGCTGCCATAACAGCTACAAAACCAAACCGGGGAAGCACGGAAAAACTTTCATTTTTTATATGCTGCCTGCTGACTGCTGCCTGCTGCCATTTCCATTGTATGCGGTGTGTAATCATACTTAAAGTGCTACAAAAATGAAATTCACTTGCATACTTTTAGGTGTTGCATTGAAATATGCATGCGCCCAACTACAAGCAACAGAATTTATACGTTTCATTTAGTAACGTCAGCGCTAAATTCTATTCTAATTGGCTTTCAGTTCTTATCGTAGAGGGAAATTGTTCAACAAAAAATTACAAAAAATTACAAAAAATAACCTCAAAAATATATATAAATTTCTGTTATGTGTCTGTGCAATTGGAATTGTTCGAATTGTTGCTGTTGCAAAATTTTTTGTGTGGAAAAAATGTTATTTAGGGAAAAATGAATTTTTGCAATATGTTGAACTTAGTTTTTACGCTTGTGTGTGTGCCTGTATGTGCAGCTGTCCTTTTTTGTGTCAATTGATGTAAGAATTTTT